GAATCACAGCACCTGCCTTGGAAGCCCAAGAGAGGGACCCAGCCAGGAAACTGCAGGCAACAGGAAGTGATAGGGTTCTCAGACAGGGAAGTAATGGGTTTAAAAGAGAGTCGAAGAACCAGTTATGGGAAAGCAATGCAGAAAATGGGATAGAGGGGACCAAAGCAGAAAGACCAGGCTGGAAGCTCAGCGGTGAATCGGGTGGGGAGAGAAGACCCCGGGCCTGTGTCACTCAGCCATTAACCTATAGTCCACCCACTCCCCAGTTTCATTAGGGAAGATAACAACTTTAATGTTTCTGTAATATTATTTATAATTTCAAAATAATTATATATTATGACTAGACCAAATCAAAGTAATAAAGCAAAACACAACTCTGTGTTCAAACATGTCTTTCCCTCCAAAATTAACCTCCACCTGAAATTATCAGAGATTTTGCTTCACCTCTTCCCTGTATCTAACCAACCTCCCAACACTGTGAGATGTGCTGGCCTCTCCCAAAATGTTAGAAATGGGCTTGATAGAAAAAGATAAATGTGAGAGATATTTCAAGGGCAAAAACAGAAGGACTTTATAATTGATAAAATTGATGAAGAGGAAATGTGTCAAAGATACCTTCAAGTGTTCTAATTTGTGTGTCTGGAAGTTTCGTTGATTAGGCTGTGGGGGGGTGGAGGGAGCAGATCAGGGAGTCGGTTTCAAGGTGCAGGTGTAGGCCTGATGAGAAGCCACATGGAAGCTGGAGGAACAGCTCCTAGTGGGTAAAAAGCCATATCAGGTGTGTATTCACATGTCCGGTAGGCTCTAGGTGATTGTTGTGGAAGCCCAGGTGGGAGATCACCTAAGAAGAAGTCTGTATAAATGGACCCAATTCTTCTAGAAAATGCTTCTTGTAGGGTCAGATATGGTAGAATGGAGATGAACTACATAATGTTACTAACACCATGCACTTGTTTAACAGCATGTACTGTATTAGTCAAATTCCAGCAGAGAAGAACACACCATATAGTGTAGACTATATGGTATCAAGTCAAGTTCAGAGGCACCTTGGACCTGAAGTGGAGGGATCAGAAACTGCAGGGATTCTCTGAGACATTATTCACAATAGCCAAGAAGTAAAAACGACCCAAATGTCCACCAACAGATAAATGTAAAAATAAGATGTGGCATATATATGCAATGGAATATTATGTAGCCCTAAAAAAGAAAATCCTGTCACATGCCACAACACAGATGAACCTTGAGGGCATTATGATAATCCTGCCTTAGAACTCTTCATCACTATATTCAAGGCTTCTTAATCCTTCAGCTGCTCAAACATCTTAAAACAGAAGCACAATATTTGGGGAACTATTATGTTAGCAGGATTTCCCAGCCTCTGGGAATTCAAGATGCAGCCATCCCATCAGCCCCTTGGCCTCCAGTGAATCCTCCACTCACCTACTGCAATGGGAATTGTTTTTTCTGGAGAACACAGGAGACAAACGGCATGCTACAAAGAGACATCCAATTGGCCAAGCAGAAATGGCAGATTTATCACCAGCCAAGCCAAGGAGGAGAAGCTGAGAACATACCTCATTCACTACTGATCAGAAGGCAGAGCTGGAAGCCCTGTTTAGTTTGACTCAGCTTCAGATGATTCCAGATGATTTCACCCAGGAGATGCTGGCATCAAAAAATCCATTTAAAATTCTTGGTAGTGCAGAAGTACAAACCCATTTTACACATGAGGTAAACTGAAGCCCAGAAGGGCAAGGTTTGGTTCAAGAATCACCTAGTTAAATAGTGAAAGAGTAGGCAGAAAGGGCAAGAAGTAGAACTTCAAGCCCAGGGCCACCCAGCCAAAAGAAAATGGGTCACAGCACCCAGATACTTCGCCAGTGGAAGCCCTGTTCTCCTAAGGCTTTTGGATCCCCATGACATACCTCTGCCTGGCCCCTCAGAAGCCTGCCTTGGTGACCCTGACTGGACTTCTCAATTGGATGACTCTGAGCTAAATAGGCTGGTGGCTACACTACCTATTTTGTCCTCGGATTCTTATGACTTAGCCCAAGTCACAGAAGCATTTGAATATTTTGAAGATGAAGAGACTCCCAGCACCTTCAGTTGCCTTTATCACTGTCTCTCCCTGTCTGACAACTAGCTAGCTGGGGAGGGGAGTTCTGCCACCGATCCAGTGCTGGGCATCTCTGGCCAGCTAAGTTTTGGTAATAGGTTGATGCAAGAAAATGAACACTCATAATATGTTGGTTCTATATACATATATAGCAGTGGAGACTGATGTACTTTAATTAATTTTAGGCTATAAAGATTTTGCATTAAAATATTATTTATCTTGAAAAAATCAAGTTTAAAGTCAATGGGATTTTGACTCAGTGTGGGGCATAAAGATTTGATAGGGGCAAGGTATTAGTGTTAGAAGAAACAAGGCACCATTTTGAATAGAAAAAGCATTGAACCAAGAATCAAGGGATGTAGCACCAATTGTGGGCTTTGGGGAAATTTTTAGATTCCTTTAATCTCTTCTGTAAATTTTGTTGCTGTTGATGATGATGATGATGATGGTTATGACAATGATAGTGATTAAACCTAACAGGTAATGTTGTGCTTCCAAATTTCTTCCAGCCTTAAAACCTGTATTATTGTAACTAAATGTTTTCTTATTCCCAGAATGTACAAGTTTTCATAACTTCTGGAACATAACCATACTTCCCATTGGAATCCAGGCATGCACACCCTTCACCAATGTGTTGTTCCCTACAGATTGGCATTTCTAAATGGAAAAATGAGTAAGGTGCACACAGACATGATGGCCCAACAGCCTTAACACCTAAAGAACACATGTTGTTCAAGCTGCGGCAGAACTAAAATAAGTCAGAAATGCTGCTCCATTCTCTGCCAGTGCAGTGAAAACCCCAGAGTTCAGACTTTATGAGAAAAAATAAAGACTGAGTCAAGACAGAGCTGCAAAAATTTGTAAATCTCAAATCAAGTTACGTAGCACTTATCTAATCATAATTTCAAACCCACAGTGTTCATTAGTTAAGCAGGATGAAATAATTTGCTTAAGGCTTTTCACTAGGCTGCAATAAGTTCAAACTAATGGGGTAATAAATGTGAATGGCCTGACTTTAGGCTTACAGTTTTCCCCCTTAGTCATTCCCTTCATAATACCAATACCATATTTTCTTTATAGCACTATCGGTTTCTAAATGTATCTTATCTTAAATCCTGTTTACATGTTTATTATGTGTCCATTCCCACTAGAATTAGAGCTCAATGCATAGCAGATGCTCAATATTTGTTGACTGCTTGATGGAACACTAAGGTCTCAATAGATGGGAGCAAAAATAATCATTATTTCCCAGAATAAAGTCTAAGACATAGAAGGTACTTACTGGCTTTTTGTTAAAATAAAATACTTGAAATCAGAAAGAGAAAACAAAACTATTTCATTCTGACAATGATCATGAAGCTAATTCATATGTGAGTGGCAGAGGGTGGTGAAAACAAGTTTACAGACTGTGAAGATTACTTGAAACTGAACTGTGTACCCCCAACATTCATATGTTAAAGCCCTAACCCAAGCATTTTTGTATTTGGAGTAAGAAGGTAATTAAAGTAAAATAATATCATAACTATGGAGCCCTGACCCGATTGGATTTGTGTCCATATAAGAGAAGACACCAGAGAGCTTGTTCTCTCTTCTTGCCACATGAGGAAATATTGAAAAATGGGCCATCTGTAAGCCAGGAGCCCTCACCAGGAGCCAAAGGAGCCAGCATCTTAGACTGGGACTTCCCAGCCTCCGGACTGTGAGAAATAAGTTTCTATTGTTTAAGCCACCCAGTCTATGGTATTTTGTAATAGCAGCTTCAAGCTGACTGAGACAGAGATCTAGTGTTGTCTCAATGTTCCATTCCTAGCCTTTGATTTCTCTTTCATACAAATACAAAAAGAATCTTTCCTCTACACTTAAAGAAGTAGAGGGGATAAAAATGAATTCTAAATATTTTATCTATCAATTTAAACTTTGCCACTTAGCTTCCATGGATAAAGAACTTCTAAAATAATATAAATAAAGTAAATAGAACACATTTTAAATGTTTATTGGATTTTTCTATATTTACTTTAAGCACCTGTCACATCTCCCTCTAACCAGACTGACTTTTCCTCTGAAATTGCTTAAATTTAACTGTTCATTTTTCTAATTTCTAAGGGATAGAGTAAAATAAGGATGGGGATAATTTAGTCTAATTTTGGTTTCTCTTTGACTTCTATTCCCTTCTTATGGAAAAAGCCTATTTGTCTTAAAAACTATCAAAAGTGATATCAGGAAAGTTTGTAAATATAAAACTGCATGGAGAATATTAAAACATTCACAGGAACATTGTAAAACATGAGAAATAAGTAGTTTTAATTACTGTCTTAGTCAGCTAGGACTGGCATAACACGATAACATAGACTGGGTGGTTCAAACAATAGAAACTTATTTCTCCCAGTCTAGAGGCTGGGAAGTCCAAGATCAAGGAGCTGGCAAATTCAGTTTCTGGTGAGGAATCTTTTCGTGGCTTGCACATGGCCACCTTCTTGCTGTATCCTCACACAGCAGAGAAAGAGAAAGAGCTTTCTCGTGTCTCCTCTTATTAGGACACAAATCCTATCAAATCAGGGCTCCAGCCTTATGACCTCATTTAATCTTATTTCCTTTCTTACTGTGGGGGTTAGGACTTCAGTTGTGCGCAAGAACAAAATTCAGCCCATAGCAATGACAAAATGCCTTTTGTCTGACAATGTGTGTCCTCGCCAATGACCACCCAGAGGAGTTAAGAGTAAAAATGCTGCAAGTTCAATTACTTGATGGATTTGTCCTAGGCTGAATGGCAACCATTACAAATATCATCCGAGTTCTCTTAGATCTGCATGAAATGCATCACAAATATAATGTCTTTAAAGTTGGAAGCTTGAGCTCTGATCAAGTGTCTGCTTTAGGAAGAAATCAATTCAACACTAATGCAGGCAGTTTTCTAACCCATGTGATAGGAGCTCCCTGAGCTGCACAAGCCTGGTGTGCCCTAATACCCACCCTGTTCTGTTTTCTAAGAATTATTTGATTTTAAAAATACGTATATTTTCTGCTTACCATTTCAATTCCCAGTTCACCTTCTCTTTCTTTCCTCAGAAAGCACAAGATTCTTAGATGTTTATCTGTTTCTCTTTGATGATTTCCTCTTAATTACAAAAGCTAAGCGCAACAAAAAGGTAAAATGCTATGCCTGAATAAGTCTCTAAATAAGCTTTAAAATATTTCTAAATAATTTGTGTTAAAAATATAAAATACTCTTATACATCAAATTTCTCCTCACCCACTGAAAAATAGAGCCATTTAAAAATATTTGCTTTTTTAGTCCTAGAGCTCTGAATTGAAAACAAAAATGACTAAGTTACATTTCTCAAGCATATCTGTACAATTTTAGAACGACTTAGTCTGTATAACTCAAGATGAGTCCCAGAAACCATAAGAGTTTATTCCTGACCTTCCTAAGCAAAGGAGCCCAAAATATGTTTGTCCGTGTTGTTCTTTTCCTCTTCCAAATTGGCTGCCACAAGAAAAGCTGCCGGAGCAGAGGTCCCCTAAACTGTCTGCTGCCAAGTGCTGAGGTGGTAGCCACACTCATTCTGATTTGAAAACCCACATCATTCCTGAGAGATGATGATGGGGGGCTGGAGGTAGGAGGAAGCCCTGATCCTTTATGTCTACCTGTGCAAGAACTGCAGAAGCCAGACTAGTATGTAGCTGGCATCACTGACAAAATGAGTCAGCGGGGGCTACAGCCACAAAGTCTCTACAGAGAATAGGAATTTTTCACCTTACTTAAGTATATTTGGTTACCATTACTGTTGTTGTTTTTACTGCCCATTAAAGCATTGGTCTGATAGTCCACAAAGCCTTTCCATCTTATCTCCTATTTCACAATTTGTTTCCTGAATGGGATGGGCAAGTGGTATCAGACGGGAGGTGCCTCTAAGGCTCTCAGACACCTGCCCTTAGAGGAGGAACTGCAATGTCTTAAGCCAATGGAGATATCTAATGTTGTTTTATTCCATTCATTTCTTTACCAAATGACTAGCCTTACACAGATGATAAGATCATGAGACTAGATGTCTCATATCTTTTAATAAACTAAGCTTCTAGATGGCATGTTGGTCAGTTAAGCTAAATAATTCAAAAATCTTTAAGTAATAAAATAGACACCCATTAATGAATCTATGAATAGCTGATTGGTGGTTGGGAGAGAGTGGGCACTGGAGAATAGTAAGAGTCACAGTTTCAGAATTTGTATGGCCTCCTATTTTGAGCTACTCAGACGAGCATGTCTGAACAAGCCAGGTTCTGAAAAATCTCTACCCGCTTCAAAAACCTTGATGCTAGCACAACCAACCTTCACTTCAAATAATGATACAAATTGGAGCACATGCCTTAATGGTAACCCAGATTGACCTTTTTATAATACTCTGGTTTTATGTTTCACCACTTGATTCCAAAATAGGGAATGTTATGTTTTAAATTCCTCCTTGCTGTTTATTTACAATATATCATGCAAATCACAATCTTTTTACCCTTTTCAAAAAATTCAGCATCTTATATATTCAAAACAATTTCAATTATTTGCAAATTCTAGCGCATGGAATGTATTTAGACTTTAGTATTAGATCCCATGCATGGAGTTGACCATAATGAAGCTCCCTTTTCTCACTCATCTAACTCAGTGCTATAGAAAGATTAAGATACTGGGAGTGAAGACCTTCCCATTGATGTGATGGTGATTAAAACATTTCCCAGTTATGGAAGTCAGCCATTATTTATTCAGATAGTTAAAGATAACTTGAAGATCAGAAACACTTTGCTTTAAATCACCTTGCTTTGGAGAAATGCTTTTCAAGATCCAGAAAGAATAGTAAACTAGATTTCAAGAGATTGTTTCTAAGAACCTATTTGCTTAAGGATGCACTTTATATGAGTGCACCACTATTTA